ACTTTTACTTTTTGTAATTTTAGTGGTGTTTTTTTGTACATATGCAACTTTAAAATACACTGCTCTTTATTGTGGTGTCCTTTTTATTGAAATATGTAACAGATCACTTCACTATTACTTTTTGTCATTTTAGTGGTGTCCTTTAATTTTCACATGTGCTGAATGCGGTGGTGCTGAGTCCTGTCTTTGGCAAGTAAACACGATCACTTTGTTTGTTTACAAACTGCTGGACAACGAATGTTTTCTCATCGATGCAACTCTTTGGTGTAAGTTCTTGTTTTGGAATTTCAATCGCTTTACCCTGAGCTCATTTTATCATATTTGCCGAATGGAATATTGCGATATATTTAGCTCACGCACTTTCGAATGAATTGAGATAGTTGGCAAAAATTTTGAACACATGTTTATTTTTCGAGTAGGAAGTTTAAGTTCGTGAATGGGCCATGTAGGTCCACGTTTTCATATAGCCCCCATATAATGGTACCTCCCGATATTATTTATTTTATTTATTTCAGCGACATTATTCACCGGAATTGTTTCAAATTTGATATTTAAAGTTCGAAATGGATACTACATCCTAAGACAGAAAATTGTCTGTGCAAGTCCACGTCTTCGTATATCCCCCATATAACGGTACCTCCCGATATTCGGTATTTTGATGATTTTAGCGACATTATTCACCGGAATTGTTTCAAACTTGGTATTTAAAGTTCGAAATGGATACTACACAGAAAAATTTTTGTGCAGGTCCACGTCTTGGTATAGCCCCCATATTACGGTACCTCCAAATATTCGGTATTTCGATGATTTTAGCGACATTATTCACCGGAATTGTTTCAAATTTGGTATTTTGACGATTTTAGCGTCATTATTCACCAGAATTGTTTAGAGTTCGTTATTGGAACTTCAGTCTGTGATAGGAAATTGTCTATGCAGTTACAGGTCTTCTTATAGGCCCCATAAGAAGGTCCACGTTTTCATATAGCCCCCATATAACGGTACCTCCGGATATTCGGTATTTTGATGATTTTAGCGACATTATTCACCCGAATTGTTTCAAATTTGGTATTTAAAGTTCGAAATGGATACTACAGCCTAAGACCGAAAATTATCTGCGCAGGTTCACGTGTTCGTATAGGCCCCGTATAAAGGTACCCCCGATATTCGGTATTTTGATGATTTTAGCGACATTATTCACCGGAATTGTTTCAAATTTGGTATTTAAAGTTCGAAATGGATACTACAGCCTAAGACCGAAAATTATCTGCGCTGGTCCACGTCTTCGTATAGCGCCTATATTACGGTACCTCCCTATATTCTGTATTATGATGATTTTAGCGACATTATTCACCGGAATTGTTTCAAATTTGGTATTTGAAGTTCGTAATGGAAACTACAGTCTGTGACAGAAAATTGTCTATGCAGGTTGAGGCCTTCGTATAGGCCCCATATATCAGTACCTTCCTACATACGGTATTTTGACGAGTTTGGGTACAATACCCACCGAAACTGTTTGAGATGTCGTATTTGAAGTTCGTAATGGATACTGCAGCTTGTGACAGAAAATCGTCTATGTTGGTCCAGGTGTTCGCACAGCTCCGATATAACGGCACCTCACTATATACGATTTTTTGATGATTTTAGCTACATTATTCACCGTATATTTCCAGTTTCGAATTTGAATATGGTAATGGCTTATGACAAACAATGACTATGTATGTCCACGTCGTATAGACCCCAATATAACGGCTATATTCGGTGTTTTTAAAATTTCAACAGATTTTTTTAAGCATTTTATTTTTTGAAAATTTTTAAAATTCGTTCCAAATGATGGAGGGTATTCAAAGTTCGGGCAGGCCAAACTTACTGCTTTTTAACTTGTTTACACCTACATTCATTCCAATCTAAACATACATGACAAATAAAAAAATCAGCTTTTATTTCATAACATAGAAATGTATGAGTAATTTTTGCATTGTCAAAAACATCAAACATCTAATTTTTCTCAGAAATCGTAAACAACACATATGTAGTACACTACCAGTACAATAATTTTTTAATGTTCCGCTATGTAATACGCTACGATTTTGTAGTGCTCCGTCTGCGGTACACTACCTTTTATAGTGCACCTACTGCGGTACAGAACGATTCTCACTGTGCTCTGGTACAGTATCACTAAAATATTTTTTAAGGGTTGTGTTCCGGTACGGTGCATTATTTTAGTGTACCACTCCACCTCGGAACGGTACAGTACCGTACTGTTTATTTTCGAACGCTGGTTTAAAGTAGGAAATTTGGTTTTTATTAAAAAGGAGATTATCACGGCTTATGTAAGATAATAGATATCGAAAATTTGAATGTCAGATTAAAATGAATAGTGAACAAAAAATATTCACAAAAAGTGGATAAGTCGTACAGCGAGTTCATTGCATGCATTCTTATTTTGTATTATATGACTATCTGCTATGCGCCCCTTTGTAGAACAATTATTTGGTATTCCATTTCGAATGTAACCAATGGTTGAAATTTAGTCAGCATTGACAGTGGAAATGAATTATACTCTAATTGTTAATTGTTGGAGTCAAGCCCGAACTCCAAACGAGCCGATGCCTGCTTTTCTTAATATTTTTCCTCGTTTTTAAACAGCGCAATAGATGAATTAAATGCTTATAATTTCTTTTACAAAATCGATCGACCGTTTGTTTTAGTTCCATGGAAAAACTGTTTAAAATTTTTAATGAGCGTCTCGCAGATCAAGAATATATTTACTTCGTATATACATAACACAATATAACAATTTACAAAATGAAATCGCATAAAATTAGCACAAAAAATATTGAATGATTTACAAGTTAATTAAGAAAATAATAAAGGAAAAAGTTTATATCAACAATAGTTCCTTTAACTAAAACCTACGCCGTAAGAGGAGGTTTTCCACAAAAGTCATAACACAATTGGTAACACATCCATGAACAGGAGTATCGGTATCACCAACCGTGCGTCCCCTAAGTGTAAAAATTATCGGTAATTCACATAAAAATAAAAAAGGTGTGCAATTTCTAGATTATAAATAAAACAAAGCTATTTTGCAACAACAAACCACAAATATTAAAACATTATTATGTCGTAAAGTAGACAGAATTATGGTTATGTATGGAACAAGATAACAGATGGCCGCCGTGGCTTTGCTGACACACACGCGATCTTTTAATGAAATTTTAAATGTCCGTTTTGCATTAATGCTGCGGCATTTCATTAATGCAGCGTCCAGGACTGGGTTGTAGTCGGTTTATTCGCAAATAAAAACCCAAAACAAAAAAAATCTAAAGGTGTCAAACAGCTCGTTGGAGGCGCCAATTCTTGTCTCTAAAGTGCGAAATAACACGTTCTGGAAATGGCTGATGCAATAATTGAATTGTTTATCTGTCTGTATGTATGTGGCGTCTTGTTAAAACCACATGCCCTCCACATTCACTTCTTCAATTCTAGGCAAGAAAAAACTGGTTATCATTTCACGATACCGAACACAATAAAAAGGTCCAATGATTCATCCACCTAAAACACCACAGAACACAGTGAGCGTCGTTCTGGCAGGACTGGATGCGTTTCCATTGTGTAGCACTTACTTTGGCGGACCACACTGGGTCCACATAGTTTACAACAGGCCGCGATAGTTATAAGAAGTCAACCAGGTTTCTTTATCAGCTTCTCAATTGCTGCCGGCCAGATACTTGAGCACCTTGTTCCTACTTCTAGTTGTGGTATAGGGCGATGACACGGGGAGTTCGCATGAAATGCGGAATTTACAAAACATTTTTTACTTACATTTATACGAAGCTAAGTTCATTAGATTTAGCCTGGAATAAAACTAAGATCCCTCGAATAACAGGATTAAAAAAAGTCCCCCATTATACTTCCATTACTGTGAATCTATCATTCGACGTAAAATCAAGAGTTCAATATTTATTCCGTCTTCAAAATGTTAGCATAATTTTAAGTAAATACAATGGATGCATCAAAAATTATACAATAGACCTATGCCGCCCAAAGTGCGTATTGCTTGCTCTAAACAAATAATGGTATAATACAAAGGAATCGGTGAATAATATAAAAAAATTGTTGACTTATTTTCACCTGTTTGTAACAGTTACATAGAACGACTTTGGAGTAAATTATTTTTAATTGTGGTGTTATACGATCTTGACTAAAATATTTCAATTGGAAATGTAAATATTATTTGAATATTCCCATACGTAAATTGAAAACTAGTGCATAATTATCACATACTACCAAAGGTCATATAAAGAAAAAGGAAGATGTTGAGGCATAAAATTCCTGGAAAAACAGTATCCGCAGCCTGCTTTTGTATTCAACAAGAAAAATGCAGACTCAGTTAAAAATCCAAAATTAACAAAAGTAGAATAAAGAAAGTAGTTTTTAGTTGCAATTAAAAATTCTTTTGTTCAGGGGCACACTTTGATACTTTCCCCAAAAAATGAAGTAAAAAGAGAGATTTTGACTCCGATTGGATACGTGTTAAATTAACAGTATATAAAAAACAAACATGTAATTTTCAGTTTCAGTACATACAGTTTGAATGTAAGTGTCGAAAAAAAGATAGTACATCGAAATTTTATGTTATTTTCAGTTTGCATCCGTTCTTCAATAATATAAATGTTCCTCAGTTTATTTTGTTCTTCTTTTATTTCAATACATATTTTTTTGTTTTTTTTTTTCCAAAACTTTAACATCGTTAACTGGGGTGTGTTTATAACATTACAATTTAAATTTTTAAACATTTTGCAATTAAACTTCAAAAAAAAAAAAATGTAATCTTTTATGCGAAGTTATTTCATAATCCAAGTTTGAGTTAAAGTACAAAATATTATAAATAGCTAATTTATATATGGAGGCTAAAATTGTCCATGGAATGAACATACACGTTTTTTATGTCGGTGATATAAGCGAATTAAACTTGCATAAAAACAAGATTTACTTACTTTGTTTATTTTCGTACCAAATTTTTACTAGACGGTCGTTACGTCCACAAGTAGCAAACAATGTTCCATCTGGACTGAACGCCATATGATAAATTGGTATGGCTGTTTGACAGGACCAAATATTCTCCCAATTTGCGACATTCTCAATAGTTTCGTTTGTAGGAGTTTTATTTTCTCGATCACCACCAATCACAAATTTTACACCTAAAAATAAATATAAAATGTTACATAATTAAGCAAACATAATAAAAAATCCATAAAATAAAATTATTCCACAGAATAATCGATAACTTCACATTGAATCTACTTTAATTATATATTGGCTATAAATTGACCGCTACTTCGTTTCCAAATTCCAAATTTTAACTTTATCTGTTCTACCAAATCCAGCGGTCCTATATTTATTATTAACAGTAAGTACATTTTGCCTACATATAGTACGAACTTGACAAACTATACAGCAACCGCGAAAATTAACCAAAATTGTTGAAAATTCCAACAATAAATTAATTTTTGTTTCTAATATAAATGTGTCCTAAAGTTTAAAGCTCTCATAAATAGGAAATTAGATGAACCTTGGGCGCATCATTCGCCATAGATAGTGACATAGATGTATTTACCGTCTTGTGGCACACAAATATTTGATAATGAAGTCATTCTTGCACGAGATACTGTTGACCTTCCCTCCAACCTTAAGTATTTGTTTGGGGGCTGAGGAACTGACCACGCATACTTTTTAATCTATCTATACATCTATATATATAAATGAAAGTTGTGTTAGTTACTACGCTTATAACTTAAGAACCGCTCAACTGATTTTAATGATTCATACAAATTCGGAATTGTCTCCTATCCGAAAAGGATATCATACAAAAAAAAAATCACGTAAAAGTGTGATATATTAACATTTTCATTTTGACTTTTGAAATGTACAATAGTAATGTTTTATTTTGCATGATTTTTTTCCATTTTGACTTACTTTTTTCTAATGTACATTTGTAGTGTTTTTTATATTTTATTTTTGAATTCGAATATTAATATCAATTTATTTAATTGACTTGATTTCTTGAGAACTGAAATTGATGACGGGTTACATGGAAGTGTAGTACCGAATTATGTGGTGGCGAAACGGAATAGATGATATCGAAATAATTTAACGCGGTCACACCAAAGTTAGAAGATAATAACCTTTTCAAAATCGCTAAAAAAAAAAATTACGAAAAAAGAGATCTCATTACAAAAATTCTCAAAACGGGAAAATATCGAAAAAAAATGTCCAATGGAATTGAATTTTAAAATAAAAGTACATTCTATTGACAAACTTTGTAAGGATCTTTAAACAGTTGCTGTAAAAAATCAGCGAACAAGTTGAAGATTTTTTCAATTTTTATTATTCTTTTGTCATTTTTTTTTTCAATTTGTATTATCATATTGAATTCAGTGGATTTTTTGTGAACGAAATAAAGAATAATTTTTCACTATATACAATTTTTCACCAAAAATAAAATAAGTGCGAAATACGATTGTAACTAACATCTACCTTTCAACTCCAGGGCCTACATCGTGCTTCAGCTGGAAGATGCGCAGACATTTAAACAAACAAAAATGACCGAAAAAGACTAATGGGGCTCATTTCAAAGCGTGGACCTACTTCTTTCATGTGACAATAATCCGTCCAATGAGAGCTCAAAATGCAAAAATTTTTGGGACTACAATCAGTAAAGTACCAAATATAAAGGGTGCAAAATAGTAGAGCGAATGGGACTTTTAGTAAGAAAAGGATTTCTATCCTTCCAAAAATTCTTCCCGAACATTTAAGATACCTTAAATCGCTTTTGCATGACCTGCAATATGATATATGATATCGATCATAAATAACCATTGTATGATTTAAGCTATTTTTGGAGTCTTCGTCATTTTCTTCTATTTTTGGCCCTTATTTGGCATCTTTGTTTCTAAGGGAGTAGAAAATTCTCGGAGTAGGGCCCATATTGGTCTTGACCACTAAAAAATTGTATTTATGCTACCCTGGCGTAAGGAACCATCGTACAGATAATTGCCACATAAAAATTTATTCATGTAAAGTCCCCACATTGGAGTATCCCAAGTCCACTTTCACATCTAATGTGTGGTCAGAAAAGAAAATTTTGTATTCTATTGAATTTGTAACCCCCAAGAGAATATTGGTTGGGAACGTAGATATAGATGTACATCCCAAATCAAATAAATTGTGAAAAACAAGAACAAATTATAAATATAAGAAAGTAGCACGGGACCGAATATTTGTTGAATCGTCATTGAATTATACTATGATGAAAAATATGGACTTTATGGCGTCTCCAATTTACAATTTAAATGACAAATAAGATGGATAAAATTATTTTTACTTATTTAAATCACGTGAATTTTTTTCAGTTTGACATGCTATGTTGTTCTGCTATATTTTCGATTTGGCCTCTATTTGTCATCTTGGATTATAAGGGGGTAAAAAGTTTTCAATGTAGGTCGATGTTTCGCAGTAGTGCCCATATGAAGGTACTTCCTGATTTTACCTTATTTCAAAGGATTTGGCTAAAAATGTGTATTTGGGGGGGTGATAATCGTACACAAAAATTTCAACATATCTACAAATTTTAGAATTTTCTCCATGTAATAGTACCCCCACAAGTCCACCTTTTGGCGGACTTATGAGAACTCTAATGCACAATCTGAGGTGTTAATGGGTTTAAAAAAGTAATTAACTTTGGCTATTCTTAAATCAGTCAGCCCTCAATTATGAGGTGTACAAAATACAGTAAATTCCAAATTACTGCTCATTTGACTAAAAACTATAAATTAATCGACCAGTACATGAACACTTATAACAGTCATATCTTTGAATAATTATGCTTTGACAAATATGCATAATAGACTAAAACTACGGGCCGGCAACGCGGACAGGGTCAGCTAGTTATATTATATTATATTATATCATATTTTATTATATTATATTATATTATATTATATTGAAAATCGATGATTTGCATTCTTTACATACAGTCGCATTTTTATCAGTGCTCCAAAGTTATCCAAAAAACTTACAAAATAAACAATATCTACTTTCCAAACTACGCGTAACAATATTCACTTTGGCTGCCAAGTTCGTGTCATTGTCGAAGAAAAGATTGTGGTCTCCAGAACAAAGAAAATTAATTATATTTTATTACAACTTCGGCCGAAAACCTTTGATTCCACTGGAAAACGTTTTTTTTTTTTTTTTTGCAACTAATACAGAGAAAGGCCAAAACAAACATCAGCTGTGCTGCTCTTTCAAACCTGTCCTGTGGTTCATATCGATATTAGTTATCGATAAGTCAATCAATGCATTTACTGTGTTGCCACATCTAATGAGTATCAAGCGCACACTATTATCAACATCACCTGACAACATAAATTGTACACCGAAAAAAATTTTTACTGGTCCAAATATCAAGTACAAAGTACAGGAGGAAACCAAGACTTATTCTCGTGGAGCAAACTAGGTGATTTGTTGGATGACAAATTAAGAGATGTAGCTAAGAAGGAGGATGTTGCTGCCATCAAACAAGAAGTTGATGTTTTAAAAACTGAGAACTCAAAGCTCAAAGACGAAATTCAAAAACTAACGAATCGCTTAGAAGTAATAGACAGGCGAAGTAGATCGTCTAATGTGGTGGTGAGTGGTCTTGTCTGCAATAACACTTCGACTGCCAAAAAAAATGCTTATTAGCATGAGTAAGAATGAGCTGAACGTAGATATAAATATCATGGGCACAAAGATGCTGTCCTCTGGCAAATCGTTTGTGTTTACCCTCGAAACCCAGGGTGAAGCACAACGCGTTATCGAAGCAAGGAGACAACTGAAAGGAAAAAATATTTACATACAAAAAGATTATACTGCATTGGAACAGACGACCGGATACAATCTTCGCAAGGCTGCCAGAGTCGTGTCAAAAATTAGGCCAAATATCAAGGTCCGATTAGGAGAATTTTGTATCTTTGTAAACGATATTAAATACACTTGGATGGATGAAAAAATTCTTGCCCCGACACAGAAAGATGCTGATTTTCTTGTCAACATACTTGAGTTATCTAATAACTCATACGATGTTTTCTGCAAGCAAACCTCCAATATAAATAATATAAATGAAAATTCGTCTTCTCAATAGCAATTTGATTCGTGCCATATAATATCTTACAATGTCTCAAATTTAGAAAGATGTCTCAGTTACGGTAACTTTTTAACATTCTTAAACAATTTCGACATCTTTTTCCTTTTCGAGACCCATGTCTTAGAAAATAAACAAACAAACTTCACATCCTACTTCAAAAACTTTTATATTCATTGGGTAGCTGCAGTTAAAAACTGTAGGTTTGGTAGAGCAAGTAGAGGGTGTTTATAAGGCTTCAAAAAAGAAATAAAACGTAAATACGGACTTAATTTTATTCCCACAAATGAATATCCATATTTATCTGCAGATTTTTACGGCAGTAATTTTTATCTAATTCCTGTCTATTTGAACTGCACTTGCTGGAAGCGCGATGCTGAAAAATTCAGTTCATTTTTGACTGATGTTTGTCCAGAAAACTTTTGTATAATGGGTGATATGAATGGAAAGAACAGTCATTAGATCAAAATATAGTTCGTGGTACAAAATTATATACAAACAGGCAGTCTAAGGACATAATTATTAATGCCCGTGGCAAACAAGTTTTAAACATATTGGAAAATATAGGAGGGATAGTATTAAATGGAAGAGTACGTGGTGACTACGAAGGAGATAGCACTTTCTGCGGCATCATGGGCAGTTCTGTTATAGATTATTGTATTTGTTCCACCTCGTTTTTGCAGTACTTTGAAAATTTTCACATTCCTTCGGAACCTTATTCTGATCATATGCCTCTTTGTCTTGAAATGAAAATTCCAATACGCCAAAATCAGAGTAATAAACAATCATTAAATAGATTATACTGGAAAATGTCATACAAAACACAGTACATCCAAAATATTAATTTGTTATTAGCAAAACAAAATACTACTAGTATCACTTCTGCTGACGATATGAGCCAAAGTATATCAAATACAATTAAACAAGCGCAAATCAAGAAACCTACTAAGCAGTTTTTTGTACCCCGACAGAGGTGGTTTGACTGGGCTTGTTATCGCTTAAGATCCACTATGTATA